ACCAAATCTTAGAATTGTTTTTTATTTCTATTTTCCATGTGAGCCTTTTCTCCCTGTTTCCCTTGGGACTCCTTGGTGCACCAGGTGTTGTCCCTGGATTTGGGGGGATCCCAGAGCTTTCCCAGCCCTATCCCTCCTCCTTGTCAGCACCAAACATCTCAACTCCCTTTAATCCATTCTTGGGGGCTTAAAAACCAGCCCTGTTTGTCTCCTGAGGGCTGGGAGAACATTCTGGGGCACCTTTTCCATCACAGAAACCAATTCTGCTGCACCTTCCACCTCTGTGGGTGAATATTTGGGCTTCTGGAACCTTCTTCCTCTCCTTGGCCAGAGGTTTGGTGTGTGAAACCTCCCAGCTGTGATGTGTGCTGAGGGAGCCTCTCCAGTGAAATAAATAAATTTATTTATTTATTTCATTATTATCATTTATCATTTATTTCCCTGGAACAGCTGCAAATCTCAGTTTCTATTTCATCTCTCAATTTACAGACCATCCTTGTACCGTGCTCTGAAATATTTTTGTGTAATGCTCCGTCCAGCTGAAACTGGGAAGCTGCAGCACAAAGATATCCCTGGAATATCTGGAAACATCCTCATGAACCAACCACTTTTTCCCTGAGGTAAATCAGGGTTTGTTGCCTTGATTTGAGGTTAAATTTTGCCTTTTATTTTTTTTTTGTGTTTGCAGATGTTCTCAAACAACGATGAAGCTGCAATCAACAAAAAACTGCCCAAAGAGCTGCTGCTTCGGTGAGTCCTCCCCGGACACCGGTGGGTTGGTATTTCCATCCAGGATTTTGCTGCTCTGCTCCCAAATCATGAGTTTGGATCAGGTCACTCCCAAAGCCAGAGGCAAACAGAGGCAGGGCAAAGGTCTGTGTCAGCAGTTTGGGTTAAATCTGGGAATTCCGGCTCCTTCTCTTGTCCTGATGGGAGGGAAAATTCCCAAATAAAACCCCTGGGGAATGAGGGGGGAGAGGAGGATGAAAAGATCCAGGGAGTGTGGGAAAGGATGGAGGGAAAAATCTGGAGGATGGAGGGAAAGGATTTTGGGAAAGGGTGGAAAAAGATCCAGGGTAAATCCTGGAG